ATCTAACTTGATCTAAATTAACCTAACCTAACTTGACCTAAATTTACCTAACCTAACCTGAAAACTATATGTCTAACCTAACCTGATCTGACCTCCTTGACCTCCTAATCTAATGTAACTCCACACACACACACACACGTTCCAAAAAACAGCATCATGCCAACTTTCCTTACTATTGCGGCCCAGAAAGAGGAGGGAGGGGGACAAGAAAATGGTGATGTGGCAAACGAGAGATGAGATCGTGAGAACCGACCCCCCATCACCCCTCACCCTCCCCCCATCACCCTCCCCCATCACCTCACCCCTCCCCATCACCCCTCACCCCACCCCACCATCACCCCTCCCCCATCACCCTCACCCTCCCCCATCACCTCTCACCCCCCCTCTAGTAATACACAGAGCGCTAGGAGGAGGAGGGGTTGCCAACGCGTCCATTTAGAGCACAACATTATCTCAGCGTCGAGTTGGTGAGCAGGACAGCTGGGGGTAGGTCGGGGGGGGTACGTCCTTCATAATTAAAAATGGCTGCTATTGTGTACGCTTGTTAAAATGTGTCTGGTAGTTTCCTAGTTTGACCTGACCTGACATAACATGACCTGATCTGACCTAACCTGACCTGACCTGATCTGATCTAACCTGGCCTGACCTGATCTGACCTAACCTGACCTGACCTGATCTGATCTAACCTGACCTGACATAACATGACCTGACCTGACCTGATCTAACCTGACCTGACCTGACCTGATCTAACCTGACCTGACCTGACCTAGCTATATTAAAGTAATTCGTTTTGTCTAGTCAGGTATTTTAATCCACAAACACTGACACACACGCGAATGGCAAACAGACAGACACAGACAGACAGTCTGATGGACAGTTATCATAGAAGACAGACAGACAGACAGCTTCATTTCTCTCCGTCAACAAACACCACTTGAGGGGGGGGGGAGGGAGTGAGGGAGTGACTGAGGAGGGAAGGAGAGGCTGAGGAAGGAGGGAGTGGGGAGGGAGGAGGGACAGAGGGAGGGGGAGGAGGAACGGGCGCGAGATCAATACATAGCAACTTGCAGAAGCGGGATCAGCTGAGGTCTTGCAGCACCTCCCTCCTCTACCTTCCCTCCCCCCCCCCCCACCCCCCCCCCCTCCTCCTACCTCCTCCTCCTACTTCCTCCTCCTCTACCCTTCCTTCCTCCTCCCTCTACCCTTCCTTCCTCCTTCCCTCCATCCCACTTCCCTCCTTCTAGCCTTCTTCCCTTCCTCCTTCCCTTCTTTACTCCCTCCTTCCTTCAACCTTCTTTCTTCCTCCTTCACTCCCTCCCTCCTTACTTTCTTCCCTCCTCCCTCCCCTCCCTCCTTACTTTCTTCCCTCAATCTTCTTCTTTCCTCCTTACTCCCTCCCTCCTTTCCCTGCTTACCTCCCTCCCCCAGACATCCCGCAGCCTCGCCTTACTTCCTTCCTCCTTCCCTCCTTCCCTCTCCTCCTTCCCTCCTTCAACCTCTCCTCCTCCTCCCCTCCTCCCTCCTCCCTCCACCGCCACCAGCCAAACGTGTTTCTGACACGCTGTCGTGCCTGACCCGGGATACTGTGTCGCTAATGAAGGGGAGACAGAGAGGAGACGGAGACAGAGAGGTAGAGACATGAGAGAGGTAGAGGAAGAGACATGGAGAGGTAGACGGAGAGACAGAGGAGAGAGAGAGACAGGGAGATGTAGACGGAAGACAGGGAGAGGTAGACGAAGAGAGAGACAGGGCGATAGAGAGAGTGTATCATACATAATCACTACAACTATCCCTATTAGACCTATTTCGACCAATCAGGAGCACACACACACACGGACCAATCATAAGCCAGAATGCGCGTGGTGGTGAGGTGATTTAGGTAATATAATTGGAGACGAACCATTCCCTCCCTTGTTAGCTGTCGTGGGAGGTAGTTAGTGATAAAGTTCTTGTTGTTTATTATTTTGTTCTTGTTAATTTTGTTCTTCAATGAACTTATGCTAATGAACCTATCAGGAGCCAGGAAACTACTCCCTTACGCCAACGAACCAATCAAGGGACAGGAAACAACCCTCTTACGTCTACGAACCAATCAGCCAGGAAACTACCCCCTTACCCCAATGGACCAATAAGGAGCCTGGAGTTAACTCATCTACGACAGTAAACCAATCAGGAGCCAGGAAACAATTCAGTTACGTCAACGAGCCAATCGGGAGCCAAAAACAACTCCTTACGCCAATGGACCAATCAGGAGCGAGCCGATGTATAACATTGTCAGGTCGTCAATGAACCAATCAGGAGCCGAGGAACACTCCTTTTAGATGTCCGTCACGAACCAATCAGCGAGGACACGTGTATGGCCACCCAGTTAGGAGACACGGGTGGGTGGAACAGAGAGTGGGCGGTAAAGGTAATGGGCGGCTTGGGGTCACAAGATGTTAACTAATCGACGAGTGGGTGGGTGGGTGTAAGACAGATTGGGTGGCTCTGAGGGAGTGGGTGGGTGGCAATAGAACTGAGGATGGGTGGGAGGCCGGCCGCCCACCATGAATCACTGCCGCCCAGGGAGGAGGCCGACCCGCTCCCCTTGATGAATGGTGACCAAGATGTGATCTTCCTTAGTGAACTACTGGAGGAGGAGGAAGGGGTGAGGGAAGAGGAGGAGGGGTGAGGGAAGAGGAGGAGGAGGAAGGGGTGAGGGAAGAGGAGGAGGAGGAAGGGTGGAGGGAGGAGGAGGAGGAGGAAGGGGTGAGGGAAGAGGAGGAAGGGGTGAGGGAAGAGGAGGAGGAGGAAGGGGTGAGGGAAGAGGAGGAGGAAGGGGTGAGGGAGGAGGAGGAGGAAGGGGTGAGGAAGAGGAGAGGAAGGGGTGAGGGAGGAAGAGGAGGAGGAGGAAGGGGTGAGGGAAGAGGAGGAGGAAGGGGTGAGGAGGAGGAAGGGGTGAGGGAGGAGGAAGACAAGAGCAACCACACGCACGGAGTACATGCCTGTGTGTTGGTGTTTAATCAAGGTATCAGAATACTATATTGAATATAACTTGCAATGCGGCCAATATGTCAATTTGGAATGGGGTCATATTTGGAATGGGTCCATATTTGGAATGGGTCTATATTTGGAATGGGGACATATTTGGAATGGGTCAATATTTGGAATGGGGTCATATTTGGAATGGGTCTATATTTGGAAAGGGATCATATTTCAAATTGGGTCATATTAGGAATGGGGTCATATTTGGAATGGGGCCATGACCTACAATTGGTACAGACAGACAGACAGACAAAACCAAGACACGCGGCGAGGATTAATAGTGAAACGAGAAAACAATTGACTAACTCACTCACTGAAACGCAGCTTATGAACTGTTATTGGGCACGGAAGTTTAATGGAATATATTTAATGATTTTCTAAGAGTTATTCACACACCCACACACACACACACACACACACACACACACACACACACACCCACACACACACACACCCACACACACACACACACACGCACAGGATACCACTAACAGTCATCCCCTTATCTCTGGTCGTGTTCTGAATAAAATAACACAATCTCTCACCCTCCCGCTTCCACCACCTACCTAGCTAACATCCGGGTGTAGATAAATGGCTCTACTTTCCATCTACCTCAACTGATTTCATTCATAATTGACATATTCATAGCAGATGCAATCAACTTTATTCACCTCAAAGGAAATTACAATATGATTTGATTTGGCGATTTGGCGGTGGTTAAAAGACAAGGTGGTTGTGTGTGTGTGTGTTGGCGCGATTTGTCCCTCTTGTATCAAATTTCCCGCCCAAATTGGCTATTTTGGGGGGGAAATTAGTATTTTATTTGTTAATTTTAAAAGATAATTAGTTTTTTATTAGTTGTCGTTAATCCGGTGTATGAAAAAAGTTAATCCGTGTTTTTAATTAAGGTCGACTTATCCGAGTTGGGTTAATGTTAATGGAAGTTTTTTTTAATTTAACATTTTATTGAAGAATCCATGAATTTTTTTTAACCCACGAATGCCATGTTATGTAATGTTAAGGGGAGGGGTGGGGAGCATGGGTTAAGGGGTGGGGACCATGGGTTAAGGGGTGGGGAGTTTGGGTTAAGGGGTGGGGAGTATGGGTTAAGGGGAGGTAAGGGGTGGGGAGTTTGGGTTAAGGGGAGTTAAGTGGATACATTACACTTAACACGGTATTGTCTGAGTGTACGAACGCTTGTTGACGGTCATTACGGTCAAGTTAACGCACCTGTGAACGGTCCGCCGGTTAAAATTCAAATTGAAATAATAAAAAAAGGTCTTGTATGTTAATTCTTGCTGGGGCCGATTAGGAGACACGACAGTTAGGAGGTATTGTGTTAGTCGACCTGCGCTTACCGGTGCTAATAATGCCAGCAGGGAAGGAATTAAGCTAAATTTAGTGCACTTGTGAATGTTTGGACCTGTCCCCCCCCCCCCCCCCCCCTCTCTCTCTCTCTCTCTCCCCCTAATAGAAAACGGATTTGTGAATGCCGAGCGGATGGTAAATTTCCACGCTGGTGTCTATATATATACACACACATACATACACACACACCGTCTGATGCTGTACACATACACTCGTCAGGCAGTTATTTTTCCTGTATATCCCCAGGCTGGTAAAGGATCATCTTAGCGCTGATTGGCTGGTGGAGGTAGTCGATGAGTGGACCATACGCGTTTACTGTATATATTCCTGTTGGTAATCCCTCGCTGGTAACTCCTACGTGAGAGATAAGGATAACTCACTCCTCTCCTGCTGTAGTTCCTCGGTAGTCCTGCAGGAGGGCTAGGATACAGTCCAGTTGGCGTCTATGTGTTGGTGTTAATCCGCGTGTGCCTGAAGGGAGGGATTAATGGGTAATGGTGAGGCTGGGGAGTAATGGGTGTGTGGCGGTGTGTGGCAATGGGGAGGGAGGGGGGCGGGAGGGGGGAGCGCGGGGCAGTGAGCGGCGCGTGTTGTCCTCACACGTGTAGAGAGAACCCGAGGGAGGGGTCGTGCCGTGCTATCTGGCCTCCCCTCACTCTCCCTGCCCCCTGTGTACTGCCTCCCTAGGTGCGTCCTGCCTCCCTTACACCCTGTGTGTCGTGTGCCCGCGCCCCCACAGTGTTGCAGGCCCAGCTACAGGTGACAGGCTGTGTGTAGCGGCCTGCCTCCACTCCCGGAAAATTCACAAGAACGGAAGACTCCATGACGTGTTATGCCGATACTGGCCGTGATGATGTCTCTCCCTGGATACACTCCCTTATATCCATTCCTCCCTTCCTCTCCCTCGCTCACCACAGAGGGAGAATTTCCTATTTGAAGGAAACATTTCCGATTTGATTTTGTTTTAGTGTTGTGTATGTTAGAGGGGGGGTGGGGGGTGTCTGCTCCCTCCTCCCCCTCCCACTTGACAGACACTAGTGTAAACAAACAAACAATGACACAGTCTGCCACACTGTCGTTGTAGGAGGCTGTATATGTGTTTACCGCCGTCACACACCGTCACCAGCGTCACGGGTAAGATGCGGCGGGGAACTGACGGTGGCGGCGACCACACACACTTGCCTCCACTTCCGCCGCCGACAACGCCGCCGCCGCCACCAGCCGCCGCCAGCCGCCACCACCAGCGCGTTGCTATGGTGTCATTCCTCCAGCACTGATGACGTGTTGTGACGTGTGTGTTTGTGGTTATCTCACAACATCCTTCGTCCCCGTTCATGGCGCCAACATCACCATCAACACCCTGTCAGCAGTCTTAAGCTCAGGTTGCTGTTCACGTTTATCATACAATATTTTGACGGCATCATCTGAAGGTTAGGCTCACCTGGCTTAGTTCACTTGATAATTAAACACCCTAACGCTCACTTATCCTGACCTAACCTAACCTGTCCTGACCTGGAAAAGTTACCGAACATGATCATTAACTCGAACACGCTGGGTAGCTTCAAATATAGGTTGGGCTGCCTAGTATGGGCCAATAGACCCGCTGCAGTTTCCGCTATTTTTTTTTTATTGGGCACTCCCCTACATCCTTGTGTAAGGTGAAGCACAGAAGCGTTTACAGCGCTCAACAGGGAAGCATGCTAAGTTCATGCTTGCCTTTATGTCTCATGAGTCAAGGGCGTAGAAGCCTGAAGAGTCAAGGGTTAATGTCAGCAAGTTTTTGGAAGCTCCAAAAACTTGTCCCTGAATACTAATTCGCTTCTTTTCGACTTACAACAGGTACCTACTTTACTGCTAGGTGAACAGGGACTAATGGGGGCTAGGAAGTATGTCCAAACAACTTTCACCGGCCCGGGAATCGAACCCGTGACATCTCGGTATGCCGCCATTCTTACATAACCCAACCCATCCTGACCTTTCACTTAACCTAACCCCCCCAGATAGCGTTACGGTGTTTAATCATCAGGTAAACAAAGGGGTGTCTAATCTTCACGTCATGCAATATTTTGAGCCAATATTCCTCACTACACCTGAAACACTTAAGAAAAATGTTAATATATTGAGAAGGCGATTTTATCTACCTGTGTTTTTATTATGAGTAACGTTTATTATTATTATTATTATTATTATTATTATTATTATTATTATTATTATTGAACAGTGTTGTATAAGAAATTCTCTCTCTCTCTCTCTCTCTCTCTCTCTCTCTCTCTCAATAGACACGAGAAAAATAGTTTGCATTATTAACATTACCCAACACTTCTCCTTACACCCCAACACTACACTCTAACACCACACCCAATCTGGTCCTCGACACAGGTACACAGGTAGGTCAGGTATTGTACAGGTATCGGTAATCGTTGCTGGTCGATCAAGTTATAAACCTGTCTTGCTTAACCCTTAGACCTGCGTCCTTACCTGGGTCCTCGAGACCTTACCTGGGTCCTCGAGTCCTTACCTGGGTCCTCGAGTCCTTACCTGGGTCTTCGAGTCCTTACCTGGGTCCTCGAGTCCTTACCTGGGTCCTCGAGACCTTACCTGGGTCCTCGAGTCCTTACCTGGGTCCTCGAGACCTTACCTGGGTCCTCGAGTCCTTACCTGGGTCCTCGAGTCCTTACCTGAGTCCTCGAGACCTTACCTGGGTCCTCGAGTCACCCACAGGTCCTCGAGTCCTTACCTAGGTCCACGGTCTTACCTAGGTCCTCAGTGCCTAGGTCCTCAGGTCGCCACCTAGGTCCACAGGGGTCCTTACCTAGGTCCACGAGTCCTTACCTAGATGCAAGTCCTTACTGGAATCTCAAATTCCCTTACCTAGATCCACAGTCTTTACCTGAGTCCTCGAGTCCTTACCCAGGTCACTTACCTGGGTCCTCGAGAGTCACCCACCTGGGTCTTCTGGTCCTGACCTGGGCCCTCCAGAGTCACCCACCTGGGTCTTCTGTGGTCCTTACCTGGGTCCTCAGAGTCCTTACCTGGGTCCTCGAGTCCTTGCAGGTCATACCTGGAGTCCTCTAGTCATACCTGGGCCCTGGTCGCTTACCTGGGTCTCCTGGTCCTTACCTGGGTCTTCTGGTCACCACCTGGGTCCCTTGAGTTAAAGCCTGAGTCCTCTGGTCCTGACCTGGGTCCTCTGGTCCTGACCTGAGTCCTCTGGTCCTGACCTGGGTCCTCTGGTCCTGACCTGGGTCCTCTGGTCCTGACCTGAGTCCTCTGGTCCTGACCTGGGTCCTCTGGTCCTGACCTGAGTCCTCTGGTCCTGACCTGGGTCCTCTGGTCCTGACCTGGGTCCTCTGGTCCTGACCTGAGTCCTCTGGTCCTGACCTGAGTCCTCTGGTCCTGACCTGGGTCCTCTGGTCCTGACCTGAGTCCTCTGGTCCTGACCTGGGTCCTCTGGTCCTGACCTGAGTCCTCTGGTCCTGACCTGGGTCCTCTGGTCCTGACCTGAGTCCTCTGGTCCTGACCTGAGTCCTCTGGTCCTGACCTGGGTCCTCTGGTCCTGACCTGAGTCCTCTGGTCCTGACCTGAGTCCTCTGGTCCTGACCTGGGTCCTCTGGTCCTGACCTGGTATCTTGGGATTTATTTAGGGAGGCGTGGGAAATATAGACTGTGGGAGATAATGGGAAATTGTGGGAAATACAGATTTAGAAGGCCTGAGAAATTTTAGGCAGGTGTGAGAAATATTTAGGCGTAGTGGGAATGATATCAGTTTGAGAAATACTTAAAATTCGCGGGAAATATTTACAAAGTGCGGGAAATACTGGGGTTGTCTAGGGAAATATTTTGGAAATACTTTTAATTCTCGTGAGAACTATTTATATGGCCAGAAATAAACTGGTGATGGTCGTGGGAAAAATGAAAGAGTATGGGAAAAAATAAGAGTGGGAAAAAATGTGAAAGCGTTGGAAGTATTTACATAAGTCAGGAGAATTAGGTTAGGTTAAGCTAGGTTAGGTCAGGTCAAGCTAGGTCAGGTCAGGTTAGGTTAAGCTAGTTTACGTCAGGTCAAGCTAGGTCAGGTCAGGTCAGGTTAGCTATGCTAATATACAAACTATTTCCATTTAAATATTTTATTTATCAATATTAAATTTCGTTCATCCAATCATTTGTGTGTGTGTGTACACTATTGACTATGTGTACATGTAACCGTGTATGTACCTCTGATATTGACTGTGTGTGCGTCTTTACGTATGTGAGGTATGTGCACATCAATAACTGGCTGTGTAAGTATGCGTGTTTACAAAAATGCAATCGTGTGCGTTCAAGTTGGCTTTTCATCAACTACTTATCGTGTGTGTGTGTGTGTGTGTGTGTGTGTGTACATGTGATTAAGTCAATTTTATCACTTCACAAGGCAGTGGTAGTGAGCCTCTGTTTTAAACTATTGTAAATCACTTGTAAATGTGTAAATCGAACACCTGTAAATGTTTAAGTACAAGAACTGTAAATTGTAAATGATTAGGTAGAGTTTTGGGGTGTGTTGACTCTCTCTCTCTCATTCAGACACAGCCTATTGTCAAGGGAACTACGCTCACCTTCCTTCCTTCCTTCCTCCCTTCCTTCCTTCCTCCCTTCCTTCCTTCCTTCCTTCCTTCCTTCCTTCTCTCCCTCCCTAGAGATAATTTTACCCTCCCTTACAAAGGTCAGTTCTGGGAGTCTCCTTACCTCAGGGAGACCGACAGCCTTGGTAACTCCCTCCACCACCACTCCCTCCCTCCTCCACCACTCCCTCCTCCTTCCACCACCACTCCCTCCCTCCTCCACCACCCTCCCTCCTCCTCCACCCTCCCTCCTTCCACCACCAGACTCCCTCCACCACCACTCCTCCCTCCTCCACCCACTCCCTCCTTCCCTCCACCCTCCCTCCCTCCTTCCACCACCACTCCTCCTCCACCAGACTCCCTCCTCCACCACCACCACTCCCTCCCTCCTCCACCAGACTCCCTCCTCCACCAGACTCCCTCCTCACCACCACCACCACTCCCCCTTCCCTCCTCCACCACTCCCTCCTTCCACCACCACTCTCCCTCCTCCACCAGACTCCCTCCACCACCACTCCCTCCCTCCTCCACCAGACTCCCTCCACCACCACTCCCTCCCTCCTCCACCAGACTCCCTCCACCACCACCCCCTCGTAAGCAGGAAGTGTTCAGTGTTCACAAGCCTCATTAAGGTGTTCAGTGTTCACAAGTCTCGTGGAACACTGAGTCGAATCTGATGTAACTGGCCCATACAACTACCTCGATTATATACGTCATCACTAGCTGACCAATAGGAAGACTGTACATTCGTCATCATTCCACTCTGACCAATAGGAAGACTGTACGTACATTCGTCATCATTCCACTCTGACCAATAGGATGACTGAACGTATGGTGTTTTCGCAGACTGACCAATAGGAAGACTTTAAACACAAAAAAGTCATCAGAATTCCTTTACAGCAGTAGAAGAGTGAACCAATAGGAAAACTTGAAACACCTGACGTCATCGCAGGGTCTGTTAGAGCAGTAGTATAGCGTAATGAAGAGAGTTATCAAGTGAGCGGTCATGGGTAAGTCGGCAGCTCAATAACGTCACCATATTTCAGGAGGAAACTGTTTAATGAGGTGTAACTGGCCACTTATCCCGCCTCCTCTGGTGTAAATAAGGGAAGGAAGCGCTTAAGTGGACGTTCTCGTACCCGGATAAAGCTGTGTGTGTTGACTACCGTTTGGTGTCCTCCTATTGGCTAGAATATGATGACGTGTGTGTTTTGACTGGTCCTATTGGTCACTTTTTGATGATGGAATGGTTAAGAGTGCTCCTATTGGCTAGAATATGATGACGTATAGTTTTGACTAGTCCTATTGGCCACTTTATGATGATGACGTAGTTTAGAGTCCTTTTATTGGCTGGTATATGATGACGGATATATTTAGACTTCTCTGATTGGTGACACTGAGGATGACGAGGTTTAGAGTCCCCTTATTGGCCAGAATGTAATAACTTGCTTTATTGGTAACTTTATGAACACGTCATAGCTTAGAGTCGTGTTATTGGCCAGGTTACTATGACGTATACATTTTTACTTCTCTATTGGTCACTCACTATGATAACGACATTGTTTGTAGTCGTCTTATTGGCCAACCTTTGATGACGTTTGTGTTAAAGCTTGCCCTATTGGATGCTAGAAATATTACATAGATTGCCCTATTGGATGCTAGAAATATTACATAGATTAGTCAGTCCTATTAGCTTATTATAACGTGATGACGCATTCAATCGTCGTCTTCGGCTGGCCAGTTCAAGAAAGAAAACGTTTAGAGTTTATTAATATTTTCCTTTTCGTCAATTTGTAAATGACGTCACATTTTTTAGAATCTTCCCTATTATCAGTGAATGATGATGCAGTTTAAGTCGTCCTATTGGTTAGTTAGTGACGACATACATAGAGGGAGGAAGGTGAGGAGAGGAGTGATGGGAGGGTAGAGGGGAGGATGGGAGGGGAGAGAGTGGAGGATGGAGGGAGAGAGGGAGGATGAGGAGAGAGGAGAGAGGGAGGGTGGGGGGAGAGAGGAGGATGGAGGAGGGAGGAGTATAGAGAAGGGTAACTTAAGGGAGGTTAAGACAGCTGGTAGGTGAGGTCAGGTGTTACAGGTGTGTTGGGCAGGTTAATTAGTGAGGTGATTAGTCCTATGATGTACAGTTCTTCTCCCAGTTCCCCCGACCACCAGTGACAACAACCAAGATGGCGTCTTAACTGCTCCTAGACTCTCACTTCTGTAGTTAAGGGAAAGAGAAGAGTTTAACCTTACGAGGGGTGGGCGTGTGGTGGGCGTGGAAGAGTGTGGGCGTGTGGTTCTTTATTGACTTCCTGATGTTATATGTTAAGTGGTGGGGGGTGATATACTGAGGCTCTCTCTCTCTCTCTCTCTCATTTGTTATATTTCATTACTCATTTATTTATATATTTATATTTGTGTGTGTCTGTGTGTGTGTTAGTGTTTGTTTGCATGACGTTCCGATTTCGGCTCATAACACCCGATTTTGACTCATAACCACCCGATTTTGACTTATAACCACTCGATTTTGACTCATAACCACCCGATTTTGACTCATAACCACCCGATTTTGACCATTTTGTCGTCATATACGTTTCTTTCGCTACCTTCCTTACCGACCGTCATCTACCTGGTGATCGTAGGTAGTCAGAGCTGTTGAAACAGGTGTGTGTCATAATAACAACAATAAACGGTTTATTAATAGAGTTGCAGCCGGTGACTGAAAATATACAGACTTACATTTGATTTAGACATAATATGATATGCATTGAATACATTTACAGGCTCTGTGTGTGTGTGTGTGTGTGTGTAGGTGTGTGTGTGTTTGACATTCAGTTAACACACACACAAAAAAGAGAGAGAGAGAGAGAGAGAGAGAGGGGGGAATGTTTTAATCTAACTCTCACCAACTAAAGGTTGTAAGGATAGTGAGGATAGACCGTAAAGAAAGTGAGGATAGACCGTAAAGAAAGTGAGGATAGACCGTAAAGAAAGTGGAGGATAGACCGTAAAGAAAGTGAGGAGCAGACTGTAAAGAAAGTGAGGATAGACCCTATAAAGAAAGTGAGATAGACCATAAAGAAAGTGAGGATAAGACCGTAAAGAAAAGTGAGGATAGACACAAAGAAAGTGAGATAGACCGTAAAGAAAGTGGAGGATAGACTGTAAAGAAAGTGGAGGATAGACCGTAAAGAAAGGAGATAGACCCAAAGAAAGTGAGGATAGACCGTAAAGAAAGTGAGGATAGACCGTAAAGAAAGTGAGGATAGACCGTAAAGAAAGTGAGGATAGACCGTAAAGAAAGTGAGGATAGACCGTAAAGAAAGTGAGTATAGACCGTAAAGAAAGTGAGGATAGACCGTAAAGAAAGGGTTATGTGTACTTTGATGTCATAAAGAGAGCGGTAGAGCGAGAGACCGTTCTTGGAGGCCGGATTATCACCCAGACGAGGCCAGGCAGCGGTGAGGCCAGGGAGGGAGAATTGTTGGTGATGTGTTGGAGGGAGGGTGAGGGAGAGAGAGAAAGAAAGAAATGGAGAGATAGAGAAAGTCATGGCTGTTGAATGAGAAGAGGAAGGGACAAGGAGAGAGAGAGGGGAAGGATGTGAGAGGGGAGAGGATTAAAAAAGATGAGAGGGGAAGAGAAAGGGGGGCAGTTGGGGAGAGGGAAAGATAGAGATAAATTGAGGGAGGGGGGAGTGGGGTGATGAGGAAGAAGGGAGGAGGTAGGGGAGGAGAGAGACCGAGCTACTGTGGAAATTTCCTGTTTGACTCTCTCTCCCCCTCAATCCCTACGTCAAAAATTCCGCCAATCAGCGCTCGGAGTGATGATGCCTCTGGAAAAAATTGGACCAATCAGGGCGCGGCTAACGGCCTGCCTTTAAGTGGGAGTCTCATTTTCACTCCCTCGTCTCTAATCACGTAGGGATTGGAGGTCAAACAGGGGCGATTATTAAACAGTAGAAGGGGGATTAGTCATGGATTAGCCCGTCGAGGAAGGGGGATTAGTCATGGATTAGCCCGTCGAGGAAGAAACGGATTGGAATGAGGTAAGAGAGACGATTGGT